TTGATACCGTAGAGCGATTTCAGTAGCTGGCAAACTTGGTTAGGTTCCCCGTGGGTACCGTGTGGGAGCTCGACGAAGATTTCGGCGTCGACGGGTGCGTAGAGGAGCGCGTTGGCGACATCGATTTGTCGCAGTTTCTTCTTCTTCATAGCGGCGATCGCGAGAAGAATTCGGAGTGAGGTATGTCGGCTGACCGGGGCGAATGTCTCGGTGAAGTCCCGTCCGTGCTCCTGGTCGAATCCACGCACGACCCAGCGTGCTTTGAATTTCTCGATTGTACCGTCTGCCTTTGTTTTAATGCGGAAGACCCATTTCCTGGTGAGGATGGTCTTGTTCCTTGCCACGCTTACGGGAACGACTTTCCAGGTGTTGCGTTCCTCCAGCGCCTTTAACTCTCTGTCCATGGCTTTACGCCATTTCTCCCTGTGTTCCCCCCCCAGAGCCTGCTGAACTGTCGCAGGCTCTTTAGGAAGAGCATTGCCGTGGACTGCGGTGACGAGGCCGAGAATCTGCAGTCCAGTCTGTGAGTAGCGGGGGAGAGTTGTGTCCTCGGGATAAGCTGCTTCATCTCCCGCTTCTGGGTCGGGTATAAAATTCGGCCCTATCCGTTCTGCTTCGTTGGTGTTGACTGTCGCAGGTGTTACGTAACCGTTGTCGGCGAAGTGGTAGAAGACTTTGGCGTTGGCGCTTTCGCGAGGATTTTCTTCGTCCATGGGGACGTTGACGGAGCAGAACGGTAGAGGTCCGGCTTCTTCTGATGCGTTGTCGACGTTCTGCTCGTCCCAGTCTGCTTCGTCCACTGCTGAGGCGAAGGCTCGGTCACCACGAAAGCCACCTGTGGGGTCCTGATTTTCGTGCAAGTTGGCGAGGTACGTCTGAAGCGTGAGTCGTTCGTAGAAGATCACGTCACGTGCTACTACTGTTTCCTTGGAGTGGACGTCGAAGATTTTCCACGCGTTGTAATTCTTTTCGATGCCGAGGTGTAGTCCCCATTGTGCGCGTTGTGAAAATCTTCCCGCTCGTGCTTCTGGGGGTCGGTACTGTACCATGCACCCGAAAACTCGTAACATTTTTGTACTGCCCTGTTTCCCTGTCCACAGCAGATGCGGTGATGCGTTGTTCGGAAGTGAGGACGACGACATCAAGTTGTGCAGCATGACAGCTTGGTCCATTGCTGCAGGCCACTGGTGGTTGGGTAGCCGCATGCCACGTAGCAGTTTGCGCATGCTGTTCTGCTGAGTCCTGTTCATTCTTTCTGCGACACCTTGCTGCTGATGGGCGTAAGGAAGGGAGAGGAGCTGCTTGATTCCTCTTTCCGCCAGGTACTGCTTGAAGCGCTGAGAGGTGTATTCTCCTCCTCCGTCTGACTGGAAGCTTTTCAGCTGTGCTCCCGACTCTCTCTCTGCTACTGGTAGCCAGGCGGCGAACGCTGCGAGTGCCATGTCGCGGCTGGGTAGGTTTAGGTGCCAGACGTATCGAGTGGCGGCGTCGATGAAGGTTATCGTGTAGTTGTAAGTAACTTGTCCTGGTTCTCGATTGAAGAGAATATCGCTGTACACCTTCTCGAGTGGTGCGTACGCGGGTGCGCTCGGGTTGTGGTGAGGAATAAACGGTCGATGTGGTAAGTCGGCTTCGGGGCAGGTGAGGCAAGTTCCTCGTGCCCGTTGAAGTTCTCTGCCGTCGGGTAGTAGTAATGAATCCTTGTCTAGGACTCCTGCTCTTATTGTATTATTTAACACGGTGTTGCTTGGATGTCCCATGCGTGCGTGCCAGATGTCTTCGGAGGCGCGGTGTCCGGGTGAGCGTTGATACGCATCGGAGTTGGAGTAGAAGCTGGCGACGAAGTTTGCGCTTCTGTGGACTTCTCGTTGAGTTGGGTTCAGCTGCTGTGCGAGTGTTGGTGGTGCTTCGTCAACGAGAACTGGTGTCGCTGACGATGGTTCTGCTACTGCCGATGATGTTTCTGCTGCTGCCGATGTTGTCTCTGCTGCTTCTGCTGCTGCCGATGTTGTCTCTGCTGCTGCCGGATGTTGAATTGTTGCTAACGCGCGTGTTCGTTCTGCTTCAGGGATGGTATGCGAGTACCAGAAGCCTTCCGGGCTGAAGTCTGGATCAAGATCTGGAGGGTGCGTCCAGTCGGCGAAGTTCACGATGGCGTCGCTGTCTGCGGTGCCCAGGTCTGGGACAAAGTCAAGGACAAAGACGTTATTCTTCAGAACCGCCTTTCCAATGTAGAGGCCGCCCTTCCCGTGGTACAGTTTGAACTCCTGGGTGGTGCTGTCGGCTTCCAGGTGTATGCCTTTCGCCATCAGCTGACTGACGCTCAGTAAGTTGTAGCCAAGTCCCTCTGCTATTAGGACTTTCGACATTTGTAGTACGACGTTCGTCTCCCGTGACTGAAGCTGTACTATGCCTTGTCGTCTTGTTCGCAGGTTCTGATTATTGGCGACGGTGATGACGACTTCTCGTTGAAGTCGGGGCTCGCGTTGAACGAAACGTCCTGAGGAGCACATGTGTTGTCCGCAGCAACTGTCCAAGAACCAAGTGTCTCTTCCGGATGGCTCGCTTTGAGCGATGGCGGCGTATGTCGGGTTCGGCTGAAGTGACTCGCGGCGAGGTGTGGTTTCGTCAAGTCGTTCTTCTGGTGAGTAGTACGGCGGTGATTCGGTGATGCAGGAATCTGTTGTCTTTGCCATGCAGTTGACGATGTTTCTTGCTCCTTGTGGAGGTTGTCCTGTTGGAGTCGTTGAGGTTTGAATCTTTGTCGTGGGAGTTGCTTGCGTTGAAGTGACTTGGGAGCTTGAAGGCCGAAGTTGTCGCTGTGGTGTTGTCGATTGCTGGCGATACGGGCAGTGCGTACGAGGATGCCCTGAAGTCTTGCAGATATGGCAAAACGGAGGTACTGACTTCAATTGTTGTTGCTGTCGATTGTTGTTGTTGTAGCGTCGCTGGGTGTGAAACACGAACTCTGGTACTGACGTTTTCTTCTTATGTCGTTCTTCTTGCAGGTCCATGTCCTGCTGTTTAGCATGGATTTCGGCGCAGAGTGCTGCTTCAGAGATTCTCCCGTGTGCCCGTAATATGGCGCGAGTGGAGCGCCAGTGAGGGCCAAGACCACCGATGACAACCGTGACAAAGGCGTCTTCTGAAATCGATCCTCCACATCGAAGAAGCTTGTCGCGCAGTTCGCGGCAGCGACTGATATATGCCATGCCCTTCTCGCCTGGTTTCATTTCAATTGTTGTCAGCTGCGCCATTAACCGGCTTTGGTTTACGCTGTCTGTTGCTTGATACAGGTTCTTCAAGTGGTTGTACGCGAGCTCCGCGGAGTTACCGTAACCTCGGTAAGTCCTTATGTTCTGCTGTTGAGTCGGGGTGATGTTCCTCAGTAGTATTGTGTACGCCATCATCGATTGATAGGTGTACTGCTGCTTCTCATACTGCGTGCCGTTTGTTGGATATGGCAGGGACCCGTCGAAGAAGCCAAGGATCTGCGCTCCTTCCATCATCAGCTCGAATTCGAACGACCAGGTAAAGAAATCCTTCCCGTCGAAAGGTTTTGTCGTTTGTAGTTTCAGAACATGCGCGAATTGCGACTGAACTTGTAGTGCGTCCAGTGCTCTTTCTTGTCCCGGTGCAGGTTGTGGTTGCGGCATGAAGCTGACGGAGCCGCGCTGGGGCTCGTACGGAGCGAAGGTAGGTTGTTGATGTTGATTCCCGCGTGCGTAGGATGAGCCATCGAGACTCATGGGCGTCACGTTGTTGTTGTTGCTGTTGTTTGATTGCGCAGGTACTCCTTGCTGATGCTGCTCGTAGAAGGACATGAAGGAGAAGAATTTCTCCATCATACTTGGATCGAAGCCCGCGCCTTGGTTTGCGGGTGTTTCCGTAGACCCAGCTGCTGGTCTAGTTGTTGTCCCTTCCTCTGTCAGTAGGCTAGAGGCAGGAGGTGGAGTAGGGGTAGTACCGGGAGAGCCGTTGAAGGAGCTCCTCTCCTTTCTAGCAGACATGTCTTCTTGATGTATTAAGTGTTGAAGAGAAATTTTTAACTCTAACCAGCTCTCATACCATGTTGGGCTGAACGCCCTAGGATCTTTAGTAGAGTTAAAGTCTGAGTAAATGATGTAGTAGCGGAAGCGTTTGAATAAAGTCCTTGAACCACCTTGCGCTAGTATGTGAGGGCAAAGTAAGTTAATTAAAGCAAAGAGATACAGGAATATATATATGAGTACAGAGAATATGAAGAGACATAATTGTAACTGTTTTACTGTTGCGGCTCGATACAGTGCGACTCGGGCAACTGCTCAATGTCGAGTCAGTTGTGTGTCCTTGCTGTCGCGTTGCGTCAGGTCAAAGGTCGCCGACCTTTGACTTTCTCGTAACCTCTTGCGGTTACGTTAACCTCCGAGGGTTGACTCGCGGTGCTTCGATTTGAGCTGCTTCGCTTGTGTCTTGAGTTTCGACACGACAGAGGCGCTTAAGACTATTTGTTCCCAACAGGAACAACAATACGTTGATTGCAATTTGGGACTCTCGAAGCAAACCCAGGTTGCTCCCAAGGGTTTGCCGTGTCAACGAAAACCCCAAGGGTCTAGCGCGAAACTGGGCGAAAGGAAACAGCCCAACTCCCAACAAGTCAACTTCTTCTCCCACCACCCAAAGGTCAACCTTACTAAGGTTGAACAATTTGGGCCGCGAGCTTTAATGCTTGCTATCGTGTATTACCAGCCATATGTGTATAAATTATATGAGAGAGACTCACGAAATGTCGCGAATTTTCAAACGAAACTAACAGTGAGTGACTGAGGGCGTCGTCAGGTTGCACGCCACCTTTCTGAGTGGAGGGCGAAAGCGAAATCGGGGGGAGGAGGAGGGCCGCACACACGGCCGGCAAGGACCGATGGCGCACTGTCACTGTGCTGCGCCCCCGAACCTAGGCGTGCAGAAACATCCCCCACCCCCCCAGCCCTTCAAAACCGCGTTACTCCGCTTCGGCTGCCATGCGGTGTGTTCCTTGTTCCGCCGACCACTTCCAGATCTGTTTCGCAGCGCGCGGTCACCCTAACCGAACCCAACCAGTCTCAGCACCATCTGTACGCCACTTCAAGCCTTTTCTCTTCTTGAACTCCCCTCATTCCTCATTTTGCTGGCCTTTTCTACCGTCAAAGCAGCTGCCTGTCAATTTTTCTTTGCTGCATTCAGATAGTAGCAACTGTTCCTGTATTGGCTGGTAACTGTTCGCTACGCCATGCCTCAGAAAATGTTCTCTTACTCTCACAAGAGCCGCTCTTCCAGGCCAAAACCTTTCCTTATCACGGAGTCATGTCGCTCTTTCGCGCTCGCGAAGCTCATAGCAGCGCTCGCCGCGCTGCTCGCCCCGTCAGCCACCGCGTTGAAACTCGGCCCGTACGTCCCGCCGTCGGACCCTACGACCACTCGAGGCCCGTGCCCAGGCTTCAACACGATGGCGAACCACGGCGTCTTTCCGCGCGACGGCTCCGCCATTCCGCGCGACCGCATCGTCGCCGCCTTTAGCAAGTTCTACTCCTTCTCCCCGACCATGTCGAACGCCATTCTCGATTCCGCCTTCGCGAAAGGCGTGGGGGACCCCGCGGCGCAGACAATTAACCTCGTGCAGCTCCGCGCGCACAACAAGATCGAGCACGACGTGTCGCTCGTCCGCGATGATTCCTACCTCGGTAACAACTACCTCGTTAACGTAACGCTCTTCAACGAAATGCTCGGCTTCTCCGCGACGAAGAAATTCATCACTCTCGGCGAGATTGGCCGCTTCCGCAAGCACCGCTTTGCCTTTTGCAAGAAGAACAATCCCGAGATCAGTTTCGACTCGAATCGCCAAGATGTGGCGCTCTCCGAAGCGGCGGCGCTGGCAGGGGTGTTCGGCGGGAGGGTCCGCGCTTACGCTATTCCGATTAACTACCTCAAGTCGTTTCTCCGTGACGAACGCTATCCCAACGGCTTCAAGCCGCCGGTTGTTCCGCTGACCTTCCCTGAGCTGCTCGCCGTGTCAGCGCATATCAAGCTCGCCGCGTCCTTGGCTTAGAAAGCTAAGTAAGTACTCTCGAATATCTGGAAGGCTTCTAGCACATCCTAAGGTTGTATCCCTGCCCAGTGTCAAGAAGTTGGTGTCAAGAATTTTGCGCACGCGATTGGTTAAAAAAAAACGCTTGACCAATCGCATTGGCCGGACATTTGTTTTGGACCAATCGGGTGCGCACACTTCTTGACACCAACTTCTTGACACTAGGCAGGGATACGTACGTGATACCGGTATTCCATAGGTAACATGGTGGAGTTCATACCGTGATACATAAAGTGTAGCCGGTTTTTTTTTTCCAACATGCTGATGCTGGGTGTTACTAGTATACCATCAATGACAGATTGGACTTGCAAATATACTGGTACCGGTACTCTGAATTCGTTTGAAGGATGACATGATCAAATTATCTGCTAACACCACCACAAGGACAAACTGCATTACTCATTGAGATATAAATGGCATCCACACATTCCAGATGCACCTGAAGCTTGACAACAACTGACCCCTCCTGGCCATCTTCTGCTGCCACCAATCCAGCACTAACAGATACGGTACCCATTTGGCATTTTCTCATTTGGTACCAAGGTACTGGATGCCTATTGGCTATGGTACATCCGTGAGGTTACTGCTGAGTGTCTCTGCTGCTGCTGTGTCTGTGTCTCAACTCCTCAGCCACACTCGGACCCTGCTCTGCTGCCACCTGGTACTCTCCCACAACCCCGTTCCCCACCCCACCCACCCCCTTCTTTTTCCCCTTCCCCTTCCCCTCCCCACTGTCATCGCTACCAGCAGAGCCATGAGCCGACCTCTCCACGTCAGCAGCGCCACTCGCGCCGTGATTGGTCACCAGCGGTGCACCGGCGCACATGTGGCGTGCCATGGTGGAGAGCCGCATCAGCCGTCGCCGCCTCTCTCTGCGCTCAATCTCCTGCACCACCTCATGGTCACCTGGGCATACATGCCTGCCACGAGACACAGGGGGCAGTGGGGTGAGAGGGGAAAAGCTAGTGAGCATCCGGGATGAAAGGGGTTGAGAGTGCTTGAGGCGCCACGGTATTGACCTCGACAACTCCCACTGCTTCCCTTTTCACTTGATCCACTGCACCAGTTGCTCGTTTCCTGGACACACATGGCTGGGGACGACGGAGAGCAGAATGCGGTGTGAGACTGAGCAGACAATACGAGGCATCAAGGCTCCCCATCCCTCCCATCCCGGCCCAGCACCCCCAAGCCTCACCTCCACATCCCGCGGATAGCGTAGGAGGGCAGCATGGCGGCCACCACGGCGAGCAGCAGGTTGAGCCAGAAGCTGGCGGCGGGCAGCAGCTGCGCGGCCACACCCACCAGATTGCCCACCCACTTGGCGGGCAGGTAGCTGCCGACCGTCATGAGGACGAAGAAGAAGAGGATGGAGCCGAATATGGTGATGAAATGCAGTGCGTTCCAATACTGTTGGTGGGCAGGCAGATGTAAGGGGACGGAGAGGGGGGGAGAGGGAGGAGAGGGGGAGGGGGAAAGAGGGGAAAGCAAGAAAGAAAGGGAGTGCATTTGCATGTTAGTGGTTGTGTTGCTTGGAGACATGCGTTTTGAAAACGTCGGAATGATGTTTGGCTGGGAGGGCAGGGATGAAGGAAAGCGGGAGAAACTAGAAGGCGAGGAACTAGAAGGCGAGAAAGGGCACGCAGTCTGGAAGGCTGGTACGCAGTCTGGAAGGCTGGTACGGTACGGGGGACTGTGAGCCCCACGGCACTCCCTTGCACACACATGCTTCTGCCATCACTAACAAATCCGTCCGCACACTCCCTCACGCGCACAGCACAGCAACACCAAGGCACGGCAGCACAGACACGTCACCTGCACGTTGGAGCCGAGTTCAAGGTTGACGGTGGTGACAACGGCGGCATACATGATGGTACCGATGGCCGTGAGGTCCAGGATGAGCCCGCTGCTGCGGTCGGGCACGAGGGCGAAGGGCAGCAGCGTGAGCGTGAAGATGATGCCTGCCTGCACCAGCCCGTTCACCATCCAGCTCGCCACGTTCAGCACCGAGAAGTACTCGTTGCGCTGGCCCTGTGGGGCAGGCAGGAGGGAGGGGGGAGCGAGAGAGAGGAAGGGTTAGAACTCTGCCTTAGTTCTAGCCCTCTGCCCCTCTTTGCTGCCCAAAATGGTGCCACATGTAAGGGCAGAAAGCTTCAATGTGTTGGCTTGATCGCCCCACATGGGTGTGTTGGTTTGATCGCCCCACATGGGTGTGTTGGTTTGATCGCCCCACATGGGTGTGTTGGTTTGATTGCCCCACATGGGTGTGTTGGCCCAGCCACCAAAAGTGGCCACCCACAACCTCGTCTAGGTGGTTAGGCTGTTATTGTTGGTTTCTCCCACTTGCTTATGCTAGTGAAATACACCTGGCCATTCACCTGCAAGAGTTCTGATTTTCGAAGGGGTGTGGTGTGTAGGGAGCAAGGAAGCATGACATACGTGTGTAGGGAGCAAGCAAGCATGACACACGTGTGTAGGGAGCAAGCAAGCATGACACACGTGTGTAGGGAGCAGGGAAGCATGACACACGTGTCCACACAGCTGCCCCACACGCCCTGAAGCACCCACCTGGGCGAAGCGCTGCCCCACACGCTCATACCCGGTGCCCACCCACCTGCTTGTAGAGCTGCGGGTAGCGCAGGCGGTAGACGGCCTTGACGTCCTGGTCCATGACGCCCACCACACCGATGGGCAGTGAAGTGAAGAAGACCATGAAGAGTGTGAGGTACCAGTCGTAGTACACTGCTGTGCCGGAGAAGTATGCCAGGCAGTTGTAGAAGAGGATGGTGAACGCGAACACGAAACACTTGTAGAAGAAATAGGTTATCTGCGTGGGGCGGGGGGGGGTGGGATGGGGTGGAATGGGGTGAAATAGGATGGGATACAAAGAACGGAAAGACTTATTGGAGAAGAAGGTGCGCCCTGTGGGATGGCATGGGATGGCATGGGATGGCATGGGATGGCATGGGATGGCATGGGATGGCATGGGATGGCATGGGATGGCATGGGATGGCATGGGATGGAATGGGATGGCATGGGATGGCATGGGATGGCATGGGATGGCATGGGATGGCATGGAATGGCATGGGATGGCATGGGATGGCATGGGATGGCATGGGATGGCATGGGATGGCATGGGATGGCATGGGATGGCATGGGATGGCATGGGATGGCATGGGATGGCATGGGATGGCATGGGATGGCATAGGATGGCATGGGATGGCATGGGATGGCGTGGGATGGCATGGGATGGCGCGGGATGGTATGGGATGGCATGGGATGGCATGGGATGGCGTGGGATGGCTTAGGATGGCGTGGGATGGCGTGGGATGGCATGGGATGGCATGGGATGGCATGGGATGGCGTGGGATGGCATTGGATGGCATGGGATGGCATGGGATGGCATGGGATGGCATGGGATGGAATGGGATGGCATGGGATGGCATGGGATGGCATGGGATGGCATGGGATGGCATGGAATGGCATGGGATGGCATGGGATGGCATGGGATGGCATGGGATGGCATGGGATGGCATGGGATGGCATGGGATGGCATAGGATGGCATGGGATGGCATGGGATGGCATGGGATGGCATGGGATGGCATAGGATGGCATGGGATGGCATGGGATGGCGTGGGATGGCATGGGATGGCGCGGGATGGTATGGGATGGCATGGGATGGCGTGGGATGGCATGGGATGGCGCGGGATGGTATGGGATGGCATGGGATGGCATGGGATGGCGTGGGATGGCTTAGGATGGCGTGGGATGGCGTGGGATGGCATGGGATGGCATGGGATGGCGTGGGATGGCATGGGATGGCATGGGATGGCATGGGATGGCATGGGATGGCATGGGATGGCATGGGATGGCATGGGATGGCATGGGATGGCATGGGATGGCATGGGATGGCATGGGATGGCATGGGATGGCATGGGATGGCATGGGATGGCATGGAATGGCATGGGATGGCATGGGATGGCATGGGATGGCATGGGATGGCATGGGATGGCATGGGATGGCATGGGATGGCATAGGATGGCATGGGATGGCATGGGATGGCATGGGATGGCATAGGATGGCATGGGATGGCATGGGATGGCGTGGGATGGCATGGGATGGCGCGGGATGGTATGGGATGGCATGGGATGGCATGGGATGGCGTGGGATGGCTTAGGATGGCGTGGGATGGCATGGGATGGCATGGGATGGCATGGGATGGCATGGGATGGCGTGGGATGGCATGGGATGGCATGGGATGGCATGGGATGGCATGGGATGGCATGGGATGGAATGGGATGGCATGGGATGGCATGGGATGGCATGGGATGGCATGGGATGGCATGGAATGGCATGGGATGGCATGGGATGGCATGGGATGGCATGGGATGGCATGGGATGGCATGGGATGGCATGGGATGGCATAGGATGGCATGGGATGGCATGGGATGGCATGGGATGGCATGGGATGGCATAGGATGGCATGGGATGGCATGGGATGGCGTGGGATGGCATGGGATGGCGCGGGATGGTATGGGATGGCATGGGATGGCGTGGGATGGCATGGGATGGCGCGGGATGGTATGGGATGGCATGGGATGGCATGGGATGGCGTGGGATGGCTTAGGATGGCGTGGGATGGCGTGGGATGGCATGGGATGGCATGGGATGGCATGGGATGGCGTGGGATGGCGTGGGATGGCATGGGATGGCATGGGATGGCATGGGATGGCGTGGGATGGCATGGGATGGCATGGGATGGCATGGGATGGCATGGGATGGCGCAGGATGGTATGGGATGGCATGGGATGGCGTGGGATGGCATGGGATGGCACGGGATGGTATGGGATGGTATGGGATGGCATGGGATGGCGCGGGATGGCATGGGATGGCGCGGGATGGTATGGGATGGCATGGGATGGCATGGGATGGCGTGGGATGGCTTAGGATGGTATGGGATGGCGTGGGATGGTATGGGATGGCGTGGGATGGCATGGGATGGCGTGGGATGGCGTGGGATGGCGTGGGATGGCGTGGGATGGCATGGGATGGTATGGGATGGCATGGGATGGCGTGGGATGGCATGGGATGGCGCGGGATGGTATGGGATGGCATGGCATGGGATGGCGTGGGATGGCGTGGGATGGCATGGGATGGCATGGGATGGCATGGGATGGCATGGGATGGCATGGGATGGCATGGGATGGCATGGGATGGCATGGGATGGCATGGGATGGCGTGGGATGGCATGGGATGGCATGGGATGGCGTGGGATGGCATGGGATGGCGTGGGATGGCATAGGATGGCGTGGGATGGCGTTGGATGGCATGGGATGGCATGGGATGGCATGGGATGGCATGGGATGGCATGGGATGGCGCGGGATGGTATGGGATGGCATGGGATGGCGTGGGATGGCATGGGATGGCGCGGGATGGTATGGGATGGCGTGGGATGGCGTGGGATGGCATGGGATGGCATGGGATGGCATGGGATGGCATGGGATGGCATGGGATGGCGCGGGATGGTATGGGATGGCATGGGATGGCGCGGGATGGCATGGGATGGTGCGGGATGGTATGGGATGGCATGGGATGGCATGGGATGGCGTGGGATGGCTTAGGATGGCGTGGGATGGCGTGGGATGGCGTGGGATGGCATGGGATGGCATGGGATGGCATGGGATGGCATGGGATGGCATGGGATGGCATGGGATGGCATGGGATGGCGTGGGATGGCATGGGATGGCATGGGATGGCGTGGGATGGCGTGGGATGGCATGGGATGGCGTGGGATGGCATAGGATGGCGTGGGATGGCGTGGGATGGCATGGGATGGCATGGGATGGCGCGGGATGGTATGGGATGGCATGGGATGGCGCGGGATGGCATGGGATGGCGCGGGATGGCATGGGATGGCATGGGATGGCATGGGATGGCGTGGGATGGCTTAGGATGGCGTGGGATGGCGTGGGATGGCATGGGATGGCATGGGATGGCATGGGATGGCATGGGATGGCATGGGATGGCATGGGATGGCATGGGATGGCATGGGATGGCGTGGGATGGCATGGGATGGCATGGGATGGCATGGGATGGCATGGGATGGCGCGGGATGGCATGGGATGGCGCGGGATGGTATGGGATGGCATGGGATGGCGCGGGATGGCATGGGATGGCGCGGGATGGCATGGGATGGCGTGGGATGGCATGGGATGGCATGGGATGGCTTAGGATGGCGTGGGATGGCGTGGGATGGTATGGGATGGCATGGGATGGCATGGGATGGCGTGGGATGGCATGGGATGGCGTGGGATGGCGTGGGATGGCATGCGATGGCATGGGATGGCATGGGATGGCATGGGAAGGCATGGGATGGCATGGGATGGCATGGGATGGCATGGGATGGCATGGGATGGCGTGGGATGGCATGGGATGGCATGGGATGGCGTGGGATGGCGTGGGATGGCATGGGATGGCGTGGGATGGCATAGGATGGCGTGGGATGGCGTGGGATGGCATGGGATGGCGTGGGATGGCGTGGGATGGCGTGGGATGGCGTGGGATGGCATGAGATGGCGTGGGATGGCATAGGATGGCGTGGGATGGCGTGGGATGGCATGGGATGGCATGGGATGGCGTGGGATGGCATGGGATGGCATGGGATGGCGCGGGATGGCGTGGGATGGCATGGGATGGCGCGGGATGGCATGGGATGGCGCGGGATGGTATGGGATGGCATGGGATGGGATGGGATGGCGTGGGATGGCGTAGGATGGCATGGGATGGCATGGGATGGCATGGGATGGCATGGGATGGCATGGGATGGCATGGGATGGCATGGGATGGCATGGGATGGCGTGGGATGGCATGGGATGGCATGGGATGGCGTGGGATGGCATGGGATGGCATGGGATGGCATGGGATGGCGTGGGATGGCATGGGATGGCATGGGATGGCATGGGATGGCATGGGATGGCGCAGGATGGTATGGGATGGCATGGGATGGCGTGGGATGGCATGGGATGGCACGGGATGGTATGGGATGGTATGGGATGGCATGGGATGGCGCGGGATGGCATGGGATGGCGCGGGATGGTATGGGATGGCATGGGATGGCATGGGATGGCGTGGGATGGCTTAGGATGGTATGGGATGGCGTGGGATGGTATGGGATGGCGTGGGATGGCATGGGATGGCGTGGGATGGCGTGGGATGGCGTGGGATGGCGTGGGATGGCATGGGATGGTATGGGATGGCATGGGATGGCGTGGGATGGCATGGGATGGCGCGGGATGGTATGGGATGGCATGGCATGGGATGGCGTGGGATGGCGTGGGATGGCATGGGATGGCATGGGATGGCATGGGATGGCATGGGATGGCATGGGATGGCATGGGATGGCATGGGATGGCATGGGATGGCATGGGATGGCGTGGGATGGCATGGGATGGCATGGGATGGCGTGGGATGGCATGGGATGGCGTGGGATGGCATAGGATGGCGTGGGATGGCGTTGGATGGCATTGGATGGCATGGGATGGCATGGGATGGCATGGGATGGCATGGGATGGCGCGGGATGGTATGGGATGGCATGGGATGGCGTGGGATGGCATGGGATGGCGCGGGATGGTATGGGATGGCGTGGGATGGCGTGGGATGGCATGGGATGGCATGGGATGGCATGGGATGGCATGGGAAGGCATGGGATGGCGCGGGATGGTATGGGATGGTGGCATGGGATGGCGCGGGATGGTATGGGATGGCATGGGATGGCGCGGGATGGCATGGGATGGCATGGGATGGCATGGGATGGCGTGGGATGGCTTAGGATGGCGTGGGATGGCTTAGGATGGCGTGGGATGGCGTGGGATGGCGTGGGATGGCATGGGATGGCATGGGATGGCATGGGATGGCATGGGATGGCATGGGATGGCATGGGATGGCATGGGATGGCGTGGGATGGCATGGGATGGCATGGGATGGCGTGGGATGGCGTGGGATGGCATAGGATGGCGTGGGATGGCGTGGGATGGCATGGGATGGCATGGGATGGCGCGGGATGGTATGGGATGGCATGGGATGGCGCGGGATGGCATGGGATGGCGCGGGATGGCATGGGATGGCATGGGATGGCATGGGATGGCGTGGGATGGCTTAGGATGGCGTGGGATGGCGTGGGATGGCATGGGATGGCATGGGATGGCATGGGATGGCATGGGATGGCATGGGATGGCATGGGATGGCATGGGATGGCATGGGATGGCGTGGGATGGCATGGGATGGCATGGGATGGCATGGGATGGCATGGGATGGCGCGGGATGGCATGGGATGGCGCGGGATGGTATGGGATGGCATGGGATGGCGCGGGATGGCATGGGATGGCGCGGGATGGCATGGGATGGCGTGGGATGGCATGGGATGGCATGGGATGGCTTAGGATGGCGTGGGATGGCGTGGGATGGTATGGGATGGCATGGGATGGCATGGGATGGCGTGGGATGGCATGGGATGGCGTGGGATGGCGTGGGATGGCATGCGATGGCATGGGATGGCATGGGATGGCATGGGAAGGCATGGGATGGCATGGGATGGCATGGGATGGCATGGGATGGCATGGGATGGCGTGGGATGGCATGGGATGGCATGGGATGGCGTGGGATGGCGTGGGATGGCATGGGATGGCGTGGGATGGCATAGGATGGCGTGGGATGGCGTGGGATGGCATGGGATGGCATGGGATGGCGCGGGATGGCGTGGGATGGCATGGGATGGCGCGGGATGGCATGGGATGGCGCGGAATGGTATGGGATGGCATGGGATGGGATGGGATGGCGTGGGATGGCGTAGGATGGCATGGGATGGCATGGGATGGCATGGGATGGCATGGGATGGCATGGGATGGCATGGGATGGCATGGGATGGCATGGGATGGCGTGGGATGGCATGGGATGGCATGGGATGGCGTGGGATGGCGTGGGATGGCATGAGATGGCGTGGGATGGCATAGGATGGCGTGGGATGGCGTGGGATGGCATGGGATGGCATGGGATGGCATGGGATGGCATGGGATGGCATGGGATGGCGCGGGATGGTATGGGATGGCATGGGATGGCGTGGGATGGCATGGGATGGCGCGGGATGGTATGGGATGGCATGGGATGGCATGGGATGGCGTGGGATGGCTTAGGATGGCGTGGGATGGCGTGGGATGGCATGGGATGGCATGGGATGGCATGGGATGGCATGGGATGGCATGGGATGGCATGGGATGGCATGGGATGCCATGGGATAGCGTGGGATGGCATGGGATGGCATGGGATGGCGTGGGATGGCATGGGATGGCATGGGATTGCATGGAATGGCATGGGATGGCGTGGGATGGCATGGGATGGCATGGGATGGCATGGGATGGCATGGGATGGCATGGGATGGCATGGGATGGCATGGGATGGCATGGGATGGTATGCGCACTGACCAGAATGCAGATGCGCTTGTAGCACCATCCCCCGTGCACCAATAGCAGCCTCTCCAGGAATCTGAACTGACCAATGGCGAAGTCTGACGCCATGACAGCCTGGCCACGGGAGACGCGCACGAGGTGAGCAGCACAGCGAACATGTGGGGCGATGAATGGGCGATGAATGCTGGTGCATGGAGACATAATGGGTGGCACACTATGGCTGTCACAGCAGGGGCAGCCATGCCATGCTGTAGCATGCATGCTGCATTTGTTATTCCTCCGTGCCACAAGACTACGCGCCCTGCTCCGCACATCCCCACTTCTGATGCGTCTCAGATACACAACATGCAGGCCAGGAAGCCACTGTGTCCCTCCTCGCTTCCCACCTCCCTGTCTCCTGCTGCACCTGCTGTCAGTCCTCCCCCTGAATCCCAATGCTAGTTCTTCCCGTCTGAACCGTGCCCATGTCACTCACACCCACACCAAACACGCCCTTACTGCCCACTGTCCACAGTCAGCCAACAAACCATTCCCCCCACCTGCTGTCCCTCCTCGCCGCGGATGCCCACACCAATATTCGCCTTTTGAATCATGCCCACGTCGTTAGCCCCATCTCCAATGGCGAGGCAGATCTGCTTGCCCTCGCGCCGCACCATGGCCGTCACCTGCGCCTTCTGCTTGGGCGACACGCGGCAGCAGATGACGGACGCGCACTGCAGAGCCAGCTCAAGGAAGGCAGCACGCAGAGCATCGTTCGCCAGCACCAGCACCAGTGCCTTGCCGTCTATCACCACCGCATGCTCCTGTGCCGCCCCGCCCTCACTCCCACTCTCACTCCCACGTCCTCCCTCGCTTCCGCCCCCGTCCCCGCTGTGCTCCTGCGCAGGGTTATCGGCACGGTTGCTGGTTGTCCCAGTGGCCGTTGTGCTGCCTGCCTGCTGTGCGCGTGCCCACTGTGCGCCGTGCACGGACTCACTGGCTGCCAGGATCTGCGACCGCACCAACTCCGCTGCAAACTGCAGCACGCGGAAACCAAGGGGGGGGGCAGGGAGGGCGCAATAAGGAGTTGGGGAGGGAGTGGGGTGGGGAGTGAGAAGGCGTTGAGGAGAGGGAGTGGTTCGTCAATCAGTGAGTCAGAGCTGCCAAAAAGTTGAGCACGCAACAGAAAGTGTAGGTGGGGGAAGTAAAAATGGGTGCGGAGGGCAGGAGCGTGGAAGGGTTGGGTGTAGCGGAGCGGGAAGTGTGGAGAAGTAAACATGGGGTTATGGATTGGAAGAGACGATTGCACTGTGACAGAAAAACAACATCTAAGGCAACTGGCAGGAGCATTTGAATCGACCCAGGGACAGGCAGGCAGCAACATGCCCTTTAGTGTGCACAGCACCGCACAGCACAGCACAGCACCGCACAGCACAGCACAGCACAACACAGCACAGCACCACACAGCACAGCACAGCACAGCACAGCACCGCACAGCACAGCACCGCACCGCACCGCACAGCACAGCACCGCACCGCACCGCACAGCACAGCACAGCACCGCACCGCACCGCACAGCACAGCACAGCACAGCACCGCACCGCACCGCACAGCACAGCACAGCACAGCACCGCACAGCACAGCACAGCACAGCACAGCACCGCACAGCACCGCACAGCACAGCACAGCACAGCACCGCACAGCACAGCACAGCACCACACAGCACAACACAGCACAGCACAGCACAGCACAGCACCGCACAGCACAGCACAGCACCGCACAGCACAGCACAGCACAACAGCGGTGTCACTCACCTCCTTGAGTGGTACGCCCCTTCTGGCAGCCTCCTTGGCGGCGGCGTCGTTGTCCTCGAGGAAGACGAGGTGCTGCTGCATGTGGTGGCGCAGCAGGCTGCACGCGAACCCGATGTTGATGGCCGTCTCCAGCTTGTCCCCCGTCAGCACCCACAGCTTTATCCCCGCCTGCGCCAACGTCTCTATTGCCTGCGGTACTCCCACCTGGAGCAGGCATCGGGGGAAGCAGGAGGAAGAAGCAGGCGAGGGGGCAGAAAGGGAACAGGGGGAGGAGCATGGGAGGATGAGGACAGGAGGAGCGCAGCAGTGACTCGATGGCCTGCTGGACTCCCACTTGTGGACGCAGCTGGTGAGACGGCGGCCCACAGCCACAGCTTCTCCGCCCTCTCGTGCGCTCCACCTGCAGCCCGCCCCCACCTGCCAGCCGCCCCCACCTGCCGGCCGCCCCCACCTGCCGGCCGCCCCCACCTGCAGGCTGCCCCCACCTGCCGGCCGCCCCTACCTGCCGGCCTTGCTCACCTGCAGCTTGTCCTCAATGGCAGTAGCCCCCACAAGCACGAGTCCACTCTCCAGCTCGTCAGCCAGCGCCTCCAGCCGCTCCGCCTGCACACCCGCATCTGCCACGTACCCCTTCGCCTCCACCCACCGCTGCTGCCACGCCGCATACTCCTCCTCGCCCACCTCCCTCCACGCGATCGCCAGCGTTCTCAGCCCCGCCTCCGCGTACATGGTCATGTGGCGCTCCGTGATTGGCCGGTACTTCTGTGCGTGCTCGGAGGCGGAGAGGCGGTCCATGATGACGCTGTCGGCGCCCTTGCAGAGCAGCAGCAGGCGCCCCTCTGGCGTGCGCACCACCACTGACATGCGCTTGCTGCGCGCACCATGGGGGGTGCAAGGGGGCCGGAAAAAGAGTGAGGTAAGAGAATGGGCTAAAAAGTGGGGATAAATGCGTGGGGTACAAGAGGGAAAAAAGCAGGGGGAGAGAAGAGGGGAGGAAAAAGGCCGGGTAAAAGGGGGTGGAGGCAAAAGTGTTGGGAATAAGGCCAATGAAACGAGTGAGAAATAAGGGCGATAGGGAAGAGGAAAGAGACGGACGGGGGGTTGTGACGGAAACGAGGACGGAAAGAAGCAGAAGTTAAAAAGAAAAGAAAAAAAGCGTCACTCACCGGTGACTGGTGAACTCGAGAGTGTTGAGCAGCTCATAGGAGCGGTCCTGCACCACACTCCACCGTGCCCCGTACTCGCGCACTTTGAGCTCGTTGCCCTGGCGCCCCAGGAACAGGAACCCCAGGCGCTTGGCCGCCACCACAAACGCCGCCTCGTCAGGCGACTCCGCCAGGAACCTCACCGCCTCGCCATCCACCGCCTCCTCCCCCCCCGGCATCAGTGGTGTCTCTCCCCCGCCTCCCCCTTCCCCTGGCAGCAGCAGCGTGCCCCCTCCGCCTGCGCTTGCACTGGCCGCCCCGCCTCTCACACTGGAACCCGCACTCGCCACGCTCACGCTGCTGCTGCTGCTGCTGCTCTTCATCCCCCCTGCGCCACTCCCCAACACACCCCCACTCCCCACGCCAGCAGCACTACCCATGGCAAAGATGTTACTGCTAGCAGCGCGCTCAATGGGAGCCGTGTCCACCACAACAGTGTGGCACACGGACAGCACCTCCAGGAACCGTCGGATCTCATCGGCGCACGGCTGCTCCACCCACTTCATGCCGTCCAGCCGCGGGTCGCGCATGTTAAAGCCCTTCTCCAGGGGGCGTTCGGGGACATACACCTGGTCGTCGTCCTCGTCCTCTTCTGGGGGAGGGCGGCCTGCGCGCTGGGCGGCGGCCTTCTCGACCTCGGTGACGCCCATGCCGTAGGGCGTGCCGGCGATGGAGCACTTGAAGAACTCCATCTGGTTGCGCGTCAGCGTGCCTGTTTTGTCTGACAGCACCGTGCGCACCTGCCGGGCGTGCCAAGCACAGCGCAGGGGCGGGTGGAAAGGCATGCAAGGGAACAGAGGGGATTTGTAGAATCGACCGCGCCCCTCTTGCCCCCTAGCCCGCCCCTCAGCCCATAGTCCTCAGAGACAGCTCCTCTTCCGTCGCCCTCCACTCCTCCCCTCCCCTGCATTGTCCCTCACCATGCCACCCACCGCACCGCACCGTGCCTCACCATGCCGAGCTCCTCGTTGATGTTGGAGGTGCGAGCAATGGCGGGGATGTCCTTGTCCTCGTAGTACATGTGCAGGTCCAACGAGATGGTCACCGCCTGCAGCAGCTTCACTATCTCCATTGTCACGTACAGCGATATGGGCACAAAGTAGCCTGTAAGGCGGGGGGGGAGAGGGGGTTGGGGACACACGATGGGGGACAGACGAGCAGAGAGGAGACGGATGCGAGGAGAAGAGGCACCGTGTGCTCAGCACAGGGGCAGTGGCAGCCTGCAGCAGCTTCACTATCTCTGTCGTCACAAAGCGAGATGGGCACGAAATAGCCTTGGGGGGGGGGGGGGGGGGGGGGGAGGAGAGGCGGGAGGGGGGAGGGCAGGGACCAGGCACAGGGATGAGCGGAACGCATGCACATGCATAGGGTGGTAGTGGTAGGCTGCGGCCACTTCACCATGTCCAGCATCATGTGCTGAGCGAATGGCATGACGTAGCCTGCAGGAGAGGGAATGACAGGCGTGGGGATGAGAGGGGTGGGGATGAGAGGGGTGGGGATGAGAGGCGTGGGGATGAGAGGGGTGGGGATGAGAGGCGTGGGGATGAGAGGGGTGGGATGAGAGGCGTGGGGATGAGAGGGGTGGGGATGAGAGGCGTGGGGATGAGAGGGGTGGGGATGAGAGGGGTGGGGATGAGACGGGGGGATGAGAGGGGTGGGGGGAGGGGATGAGTGGGGGGGGATGAGATGGGAGGGGATGAGAAGGGAGGGGATGAGAGGAGAGGGGATGAAAGGGGGGGGGAGAGTGGGATGAATGAGAAGGGAGGGGATAAGTGGAAGGAAGGAGATGGAGGGAATGAGCTGGAGGGGGGACAACAGGGAGCGGCAATGGCCATACCATAGAGCACGAGGCACGTGAAGAACTGCAACACGCCCGCCAGGGCGGGGTTGTCCGCGTTATACTGCGCCTTGTTAAGCCCCGTGAGCTGCGCGTTCTGATCCAGCTCCAGGTACCACATGTACTGCTCCTGGTACGGCAGCCGCGCCGCGAAGACCGCTGCGGGGAAGATCGCGAGAGACAGCATGAGAACGAGCTCGAAAAGGATGACGTAATCTAGTCGCCTTTCCACGAAGCTTCGCTTGGACGGCGGATCCGTGGCGTTCATCATGATCTTCGTCTCGCGCCCCGAGTACACCACCAGACCCACCGCGAACCGCGTGTTTCTTAACTTGGAGCCGCGGAGGAGAATGTTAGTCGGCGAGAGGAAAATAGGCGTCTCTTGAAGGCCCTCGAGGCGCATCTTCCCCGTGAAAGTGTAAATCGAGACGTTAGGATGCTCGCACTCCACAGTGCCTCTTAATCTCGCCAGCTGTGACCCGTCGAGCGAGTACGTCTCGTGAAGCGCCTGGCGCAATTTAAGATTAGTCTCGCCGTCCAGATTCATCGTTTCTACGTAACACGAGCCGTCGTCGCTGCTGCTGGCTAAGCAGATCAAATCCGCGGGAAAGTACGTGTCGCCTTCTACTTGAACTATGTCGCCGACTCTTAACTCTCTCCATTCCCGCATCGCTTCCGACCCATCCGGAAGAATCACGCGTATTTTCCGCTTATTCGTCTCGTAGTCCGACGCGCCGCGTTTAATATCCTCCCAGAGTTCCTTAAGCATGGCGAGGCCGATGACGAAGACGAGAGGCGTGATGGTGGTGATGGGCATGACGGGACTGAGCGGCGTGAGGGAAATGATCGCGTTGAACAGGAAGTAGAAATTTGCGACTCGTCTGAACTGCTCGAAGAGGCCTCGCGGAATGAACGTGTACCACGTGTACTTGGTCGTTGCGATCTTGTTGCTGCTGAATCTAGATTCCTCGTTGCTGTCAGCATCGTTAATATAAAAGAGCCGGTCCTCTCGTTGCTCCGGCTTTTTAAAGAACCTTCGTATTCTGTCGAAGAAGCCCGTCATCTCTGCTGGCACTAGTTGTGTCAGCTACGAGCTTCCCTCAAGAGATTAAAGAAATTCACTGCCTGATAAGGCAGTTAGAGCAATTGCTATGTTTGCCAGTAGTGTACAGGCATGGTAACTGATGTACCAGCTAGTAGTGACTGACTAATATAATCAAACACAACTAGCGAAAATGCGTCGAGACCCAGGAACGAAGGTGAGCTGGTAAGAAACAACCTCCACCAGGAAAGGACGGCCTCCAGACTAATATGATCTCCTAGTCCGATTCGAAGCCAGCATGGCTGCTCATAGAACCAAACTCGACTGCGTGGTCCCAATTCTTAGTACATGGTTCCATGGTTCGAAGTCAGTGTGGTGGAGCAATGCGTCGATGGGCGGAGTGGACCCACCAGACTCCCCCTCAATGGTGAGGTTCACGGTTCACCCCAAAAGACAAAAAAATGAGTCTGGGTGTGATGTGGTGTGGAGTGGTGCAGGTGGGGGAGGGGGTCTTGTACAGTGCCATGAACAGAACAGAGGAGAGCAGGTGTGCCGTGGAGGGGAGGAGGAGGTGGGATGCTGGTGACGTCAGTGAAGCGAAAGCGAAGCGTGCTGCTTGCGGTTCGGTTGGCACTGACACACTTGCACAGAGCCAGAACAGAAAATTGCTCGACTGACACGGATCTTTTACTAACATAACTCCTTTTACGATTGTTATATCGAGAAGGCCAAATAAATAACAGAATGCAGAATCTTACATTGTTCATACCTGCTACTGTTATGAGTGCAATTGAGCGAGCGAGCAAGAACTGCACTATTGAAAAGAAAATATACATCAAGGGAAGGCATGAGCGGAGAATATATAGCGAAGCTAGCGTGGTAGCGGTAACGTGAGAAATTGGGGTACGCTACGGGCCTAGCGCCAAGGTTGGGAAATGTCGAGGTGGAGGACTGGAGCACGGTTTGCCAACCGAACCGTGAGGTTGGGTCGCGAGGTGTACAGTTGCGGGAATAGTGGTCGAGGCGAGCGTCGCGAGCGGGTAACGTTTTACTGTTGGGTGCTAGTGGTGGGAACAGTCATATACGGAGTACCGTAAGTTGGGGCGCGAAGTAAGGAGATTGATTTTTCCTTACACCACCCCCCTCCCCAAGGAAGCCCTCCTTTCGAGAGTACGTGTACATCTCAGAAATTTCGGCTGCGCAAATAGCCGGTGAGGACGGGGGTGAGGACGGGGTGGTTTTCGAACTTGTCCAGGGGGCACCCGGCTGTCTTCAGTCGGTGTGTAGTCCTTCCAGCAGATCAGGAACTCGGTCTTGCGAGCTCCACGTGGGTCACGAACTCGGTGGCTCAAGATTTTCTCGGGTGTGATGACTGGCTCCGTTGGCGGTCGTATCATGCTAGCGGGGCGGTTGCGAGGCAATTGGCTGGTGGAGGGGACGTATGGGCGGAATAAGCTGACGTGGGTTGACATACCAGCCAGCGGGGAGAGGAGGTGGGCGGTGACTGGTGTGATCATGTGGCTGATGTGAAATGGCCCGCAACATCGGTGCGGAGTTTTGGGGCGATGGGCAGGCGGAGGTTTTGGGTATCGAGTAGGACAAGGTCGTCGGGCTCGTAAGTGACGGGACGGTAGTGGCGGTCGGCTTTGCGTTCAGCGATGATGTTCAATTTTTTAATTGCGTCTGCTGCTCGGGTCTGTGCTGCTTGTAGAATTTCTGAAAACTGTTGCGCGCGTGGCACCGGTTTGTCGGGATTCGGGGTCATGGGTACTGTGGGGTCTTGTCCGTAGTTGTTACGGGTGCAATTGAGTGAGCGAGCGAGCATTGCGCTGTCGAAGCAAGAGTACAATGAGAGAAGGCATGAGCGAAGAATATATAGCGAAACTACAGTTGTAACGGTAATGCATGAAAATGGGGTGTGCGACGGGCCTGGCGCCGAGGTTGGGAAATGTCGAGGCGAAGGTATGGAGCGCGGGTTACCAACCGAACCGTGAGGTTGGGTCGCGGCGTGAACAGTAGTCGAGGCGGGTGGTAACGGTTTACTGTTGGGTGCTGGTGGCGGGAACAGTGGTGTACGCGTTGAGCAGGGACGCGAAGTAAGGGAAAGGAATTCTCCTAATACTACCAACGAAAGCGCGTGTACATCCCGGAACTTTCGACTGCGCAGATACTCGGTGAGGACGAGGTGGTTTTCAACTCTGTCTAGGGGAACCCAGTTGTCTTCAGTGGGCGTGCGGTCTTTCCAGCGGATCAGAAATTCGATCCTGCGAGCTCCTTGTGGGTCACGAACTCGTTGGCTCAAGATTTTCTCGGGCGTGATGATTGGATCTGTCGGCGGTTGTGTCATGCTGGCGGGGTGGTTGCGAGGCAGTTGGCTGGTGGATGGTACGTAAGGTCGGAGCAGGCTGGCGTGAAAGGATGGGCTGACGTACCACTCAGCAGGGAGAAGGAGGTGGGTGGTGATGGGTGTGATCATGTGGCTGATGCGAAATGGCCCGCAATAACGGGGGCGGAGTTTTGGAGTGATCGGCAGGCGGAGGTTTTGAGTGTCAAGTAGTACGAGGTCGTCGGGCTGGTAAGTGACGGGTTGGCGGTGGCGGTCGGCGTTGCGCTTAGCGATGATGTTCGATTTTTTTTTTTAATTGCGTCTGCTGCTCGGGTCCGTGCTGCCTGTAGAATTTCTGCAAACTGTTGCGCGCGTGGGACTGGGTTGTCGGGATTCAGAGTCATGGGTACTATGGGGTCTTGTCCGTAGTTTAGGTAAAACGGTGACTGTTGGGTCATGGTGGATGGCGACCTCGATGAGTGGCAGTTGCAGTGTGAAAATGAACGAGAATGAATGCACTATGAAAGAGTTGGGTACAAGTACCAACCCTAATTGGGTTGTACCCCATATAGGCTACCCCACTACAGCCTACACAAAAGCATAAGCTATAATGCTCTGACACACCCCCATAGGCAAAGTGGGGGAGTACAAGGGGTCACAAGACCAGTCAAGCAATGCAAAGCAAAGCAAGCTCAGGGTGGATCACAAAGTCACCACACATTCCGAGCACAAGGTCAAGGCCACAAGGCCAGTTTACATGCAGGAGTACATATATATATAAAAGGCTAGACAAGCAAGAGCACGTGTATATATATATGTAACAGTACAAGCAAGGTCAAGAGGTGAGCAAGTGAGGCAAGGCAGGCACAAGACCCAGCTGAGTACAGAAGCGCTGATGATCACAAGGCGCAAGCGCCTTGGTGAAGATATCAGCAGTGTTGGCCTCAGAGGCCACGTACGCAAGACGCAGCTGACCACGCTGCTGTAGCTCACGAGCAAGGAAGTAGCGGAGAGCAATGTGCTTCGTTATGTGCTCCAGTCTCTGCTCTCGACACAAGGCCAGCATGGCCTTGTTGTCTACGTACAACACTGGAGGAGAACGAGGCGGCTCTCCGAGGTCAGTCAGCAGGTAGGTGAGCCAGCGAAGCTCCTGTGCAGCCATGGCCCCGGCGTAGATCTCAGCCTCACAACTGGAGCCGAGAACAGAAGACGCGGGTAGCCCGCCACGAAACAGAGCCGGAACCAAGGCTGAAGGTGTAACCCTGTGACGACCGCTGGGTAGCCTGGTCGTCAGCCCAAGAAGCGCCTGCGTGCCCAGTGAGGACCACTGGACTCTGCCCTCCAAGCACAAGCCCCATGCCTGACGTACTGCACAAGTAGCGCAACACCCTCTTCGCTGCATCCATGTGCTCCGGTCTGTGTCTCCCAGGAGCAACATAGCGTGCGAGAATGCTAAGAGGGTATGCAAGGTCAGGTCGAGTGCAGGTCATCAGGTACATGAGGTAGCCAACAAGCTCTGGGTACGGGCCACTCGACTCTATGGACTCATCCGAAGGCAGAGCTAAGAGCGAGTGGCGAGTAGGCAGAGGAGTGGCCTGAGGCGAGGAGTACGTGAAGCCGAAGCGCTGAAGGACCTGCTGCACCATGTGTGACTGACTCAGGGTAATGGTGCGGCGTGCTCTGTCCCGAGTGATCTGCAAGCCAAGGTAGCTGCGCAGTTCACCCAAGTCTGTGCACGTGTGTCTCTTCTGCAGCTCGGACTTCACGTGGGCGAGTCCAGCAGTGTCAGCTGTGGCAAAGACCAAGTCGTCGACGTACACGAGGATGTAGAACGACGGCAAAGAAGTGTCGGTGTGCAGAAACAGCGACGGGTCGGCAGTAGAGGGAGCAAACCCAAGAG